CACAGGAAACTAACAGAACCAGAACCTGGACCAGAACCCAGCTGTGTCTCATTAAAGAGCAACATGTCAAAGGATGCCTTCTTTCAATTTAAATCAGACCAACCTTCAGCTGCAAAGAGGTGAGCTCTGTTCAAATGTTTTAACTATATGAAACTGAACCGATTCAGTTTGAAATGTTTTTATTCATTTTATTGAAACTATTTGTTTTTGCTGAATGTTTTCCACTAATTCAGTTTCCAGTGAGTTCAGGGTAAACATTGTTGGAGGTGTATCTAAGTGTCTGTAGTTCACATGTTGGTCCAGCAGGGGTAGGAAAATACAGCTTAAGCCAGAATTCAGATGAAAATATATAAAAATAATCAGTGAAAGTGATTTTTTTTCCTCCTCAGTAATTAATTTATATGTTGAATAGGACTTTAAAAAAGAAGTAAAGGAGGCAAATAATCCAAGTTAATTGACATTAATAACAAACCCCTTTATCTGTTCATATTTAATGACTCTGTAAATAAATAGAAATGCACAAATGCTTAAGAACTCTTTTTACTGTTAGTGAAGATATGGAGCAAAACAAAATATTTCCCCTGTGGAAATACCTAAGCCTTACATTCTATCTTTTATTTTTATTTTTAATGAAACTAAATTTTTAATTGTCTTGATGTCAAAAGAGCCCAACATTTTACTTTCAGAAGTGGAGCAGTTTTCGGCTTGTTTTATGCATATAAATAGTTTTATCACAATTCATGCAGGAAGTATTACAGATTATATGGACACTGCAATGTAGATAGAACAGGAAAGGAAAAACAGAAAAAAGGAGAAAAGATGAAAGAAAGAGGAGATAAAAGGGAGATAATGATAAAACATTTTAAGTCTGCAAAGAGACCTTTCGTTACACTTTGTTCTGATTAACTTACCTTCATTGTTCTCACACAGGCTGAATAATTTCCCGATCTAATCAGTTATTGGCTAATAACTGTGTCTCCACACTGTAAACCCCAATAAGTTAGCAGTACTCAAAAAAGTAAGGCAATTAGTTGCACAATTCTTTTGAGTTCTAAAACTCAAACATTTGAGTATGTTAGAACTTATATATTTGGAGTTTATTTGAAATGTATATTTAAATTATGATTGAATTAAATTTACCAATTAAGCCGACTGAAATTCTTCAGTTTCTGCTACAGAACATTCATATGTCTTTCTCATTGAAATAACTCAGGCAAACTTAATCATTTTAAGTAGAAAGACACAGGATTTTATGTTTAATGAACTTAACATTTATTAGTTTTTTCTTTTAATCTTCTAATTAAACATGATTTGTTACAACTGAAAATCATTTCACTCCAACTCAGTGTTTCAGTACTCCTTTTATTAAGTCTCCTGCACTTTTTTTTTGCTCGTTGGCTCCGGTCTATTGCCTGTAGAAAGCGTACAAATACTACAAAATAAAAGCAGTCCGGTGGAAGTTATTAAGAGAGACATTAGCTACGTTTACATGGACACAACTAATCGGATTGAAGGCCTGATCAGATCAAAAATGTTTC